TGAGCTAAAAACGCCACGCCTTGCGCCGTGAATTTAATCACACTTGGATCGACTTTACCCGCCCAACTTTACCACTCCTATGGAATCCACCAATACGGAATAGCAAGCTGACTGCCCAACCAAGATTTCCTAAGCAATCATCTAGAATCCACAAGAATGGCTACCAAACTGACTTTATTATATAGGAGGTTTTACAGATTTGCTTAATTTAGTTGACCCAATTGTGAAAAAAACTCGATCTGAGTATAATTAAATTCACGGCGCAAGGCGCGGCGTTCGTAGTTCAAGTGATAGAGCGTTGGTTGTGTAAAGGCCTTCCCTGCTATGCAGCTAGCGTCCCTCAAAATCCTGTTTTTCGACCACTTCCTCCTTTTCCCAACCCACTATATGGGCTTCTTTTCCTTGGAGTTTATGCAAATGCGCCGTTTTACAATAATCTCAGTTCATTTAACAATAAAATATCAACAAATTATAGACCATAGCAATTTAGTTTTCCGCCATTTGTTTCTCCCCTGCAGTTTTATTTTCCACCACTAAGTCTTCCACTTTTATAAATACTGATGAGCGTAACCTACATCTGAGGGATACGTTCAGTATAGTTACTTTAAAAGCGGGATCAGTTATAACTAAGACGACAGAGCATGGAACAGTAGCTTTTGAGTTTGATCCAGATGTGCTGTGCATCCCTGAATCTTGGGCTCACTCTCTTATTTCGGACTCGATGCTCGCTATAGATAGGTTTCGTTGGGGTTCACACGATGTCCGGAATCAACAATGTATGCGAGCAGAGTGCTGTTTATACTTCCATTGAATGACTATTACCATGTGCAACTTTTATGACTTGTCGTCTCATTGATTTTGTCACTGCCCTATCACCACGTTGAGTATTGTGCAGTGCTGATTACGAACAAAAATTTCTTGAAAATCCCATATCTCTCCTTGTTAATAAATTATAAAGGTGAATTGGCCGTGCCGGGTGGACGCCTATCAGAACCATATTCTGCTCTGGATGTCGGAAGCCTACGTATAGTAACAAACAAGATAGCATTTGAATCATCTAGAAGACGCAGGCAGCGGACCACACGATCAGATGCAACTACCGAGCAATTACAAAAGTCGAAAGGTTAAAACAGGCTCAAGTATTGTATTTCCCTTATCAACTGTTTTCTTGTCATAAAAAAATATTATTTACAATGATATTGGGGAAACTGTGGTCTAAACTCATCAAAAAGGTCGATGTGTGGGCGACTGGGGAAGGGTTGAGGAAAGAAGGAAATCATGCAGAACGACCACTCAATCAGTCGACCGTTCGAACGTTCCACCAACAGCAGAGACCGTGGAGGAATGTCCTCAGTCTCTGTCGCCACCGTTTACGTTTCTACGGAAAGAAGAATGGACATATTTCTGAGTGGTATGACCTTCCTCAAATCTCCAAAAAACAGCCTACAACATATGTGCATAGTGGCACTTACCTTGATTGGCGCAGCAGATTTTTCGAGATGTACGTCTGAAAAGCAAAAACAGAGCAAACAGCTTACTGTCAAAATAATGTCAAGAAATCTAAAAGCAGGATTAGGAAATGGATGCAAATAATTCGGCAATGCGGCTGGATAAAACTAACCTTTCACGATGGCATTCGAATGCAACGACGTGTCAAAATGGTCTCCAGCACATTACACCTCCTGAATCCTTTCTCCTCCAAGCAAAGTGGAAGTGTGTTTGGCGGAGGTTGGGATGCAGCAAAGGTTGTTTCAGAGACCGAATTCGTAGAAATGCTGTGGGACTAGTCCTTTAACACAGAAGTATATACGCTTGGCTCATATGACAGTACTCAAAGGACATTGATCTACGTAGTAATCCCCGGAGTGCTAAAATGACAAAAGGTTTTCAGTTATGGCTTTCAGCCAGCTAGCTTACGGGGAAGGCCTTAATTAAATGGGGTGTCTTTGAAGTTTACCTGGTGAGCAGGCGATCACCTGACTGCTGTACTGTCGGTCTAACCCAGAAGGTGTCGTCCAGTGTTCAAAAACATGCTATTTGAACGAGTCTGCATGTGGCAGCTCAATGGAAGCTGAGAAGAGGGAGAGGATAAAGTTAAGTTTGAAAGGCATTCGGATGCAGAAAGAGGCCCCACAGTGCACGATTGCATTCGAATGCAACGATGTCTCAAGATGGTCTCTGAAACTATCTTCGCGGCATCCGAATGTTCTCCGAAAGCATATCTTCCACCTCGAACATTTCGCCTCCCATCGGGTGCCGATGATCTCTTGCCTTCCCCATCATTCGATTGCGTCCAAACAACCAGTTTATGGACTGAATCCGAATGTCCCCCAAACACACTTCCACTATTGCTTGGAGGAGAAAGGATTCAGGAGGTGTAAGGAGCTGGAGACCGTCTTGACACACCGTTGCGTTCAAATACCATCGTGAAAGGTTAGTTTTATCCAGCCGAATTATTTGCACCCATTTCCAAATACTCCTTTAGATTTCTTAACATTATTTTGACAGTTAGCTTGTTGCTCTATGTATTTGACTTCCAGACGTGCTTCTCGAAAAGTTTGCTGCACCGATCAAGGTAAGTGCCACTATGCACGTATGTTGTAGGCTGTTTTTTGGAGATTTGAGGAAGGTCATACCACTCAGTAATATGTCCATTCTTCTTTCCGTAGAAACTTTAATGTTGGCGACAGAGACTGGCGACATTCCTCCACGGTCTCTGCTGTTGGCCGAACGTATCAAAGGTCGACTGACTGAGTGGTTGTCCTACATGATTATCTTCTTTCTTCAACGCCTTCCCAGTCGCCCACACATCGATCTTTTTGATAACGTCAGATGCCGACAGATTGTTTGGAAATGTTTGAGCTGCAATGCATTAAAGATGCCTCCAGAAGACGACCTGCAAATGGTCGGTGGTGGTATATGGCCGGCTCGACCGTTGCACCCGTTCCGAAAACGGTGTCTCGAGGTAGCAGGCGAATATCTGTCCGCTGATCCTTTTGAGATGGATATGGCGCCGGAGGTGTAAACTGCGAGGGAAAGAGGGGTCGTTTTCGTGTTATACAGCGAATATCGTGTCAACTGCTCTGTTTGCTTACATCCTCTGGATTTCCTTTTTCGTTCTACAAGCAGAAAAACACCGACGAGCTTAGGACTGAAGCATAGCTTTATAATACCACATTTGGGTTAGCTGCTTTATTCGAGCATAAGGCGTTTGTTGACGAAATCTAGGACGATCAGTTGTTTGAATGTGTAGTAAATATACTGAATGTATTATCTGTGTCACCAGCTGGCCACGGCATTTGCATCCAGCCAATGGCTGCCGATGTCACAGTGTGGGTTAAAGTACCTCTTCTATATAAATTTACGTTTAAGAACCATCCGCAAACATCCTATATATTTTCAGGTTTTACGCCTGTTATACCAGTACACCATAAACTTTGAGCAGTCTCAGACCATAAATTCTACTGTATAGGTATGTTCTAAAGACAATACATTTTAACCCTCTCAAATCCCACAAATAGCATTCGAAACTAGCTTCTTAGTTTCCCACATAGTAATATGTTAATTCGAAAATTATTTTTCTACGTCCGCCTTGTTTCTACTTACATTTCAGAGGACAGTGTTTCGGTTCCTTAACTACACTCGAACTTCAGAACGTTCTCTACTAACACTTGTGGTATAATATTGGTATCCGCATACTTTGGCTGACTGATAAAATCGCAACCCCGAAAATTCGTTACGTTGTATTCAAGTGAGACTGTTTTTCCGTTAACCCTCACCCCCTTGGAGACTACAAAGGGCGGTAAGCCGGGTGTTACCCTGCCACTGACCATTCACCGCATACTGGCCAATGTGATTGGCTAACCGTTAAAGCGCAAGTCCTCAACAATTATAATAAAAGTATCGTGTAAAATTTCGGATATTCATTTACATTACACGATGACAACCAGTTCCAGTGTGTTTTACATCCGTGCTCAGTGGAGGGATGACAAACCGATTAGAATTCTTTACCAGCACACTATATCACACTACATCCCGGTTATTGACCTCGTTGTAGACACTGGAGGACTAACTTTTCCTCCTTCACACCAATCCAAAACAATTGTACAGCGAGGGAAGCATGTCATCCCATAGGTATACCTGCCTGATTCGGGTCCTCTCCCACCAAAACTTTACCTGACTTTAAACTTCAGTTGTGACTCCATTTCACATGCAACTCCAAACGTTTGGCATTCACGACTGGTTGCACATGCGCACATGTAGTTCAACCCACAGTCTCGTCTGACCAATCATCTTCCTGAGGCTGGCTCACACAAAGGCCACTCTGTAAGAGCTTGTGGTGACCCCGCACGATCACACTTCGGACGCGACCACTCTGGTGACCAGATGCGTTCTAAATTCTAATGTCAGCATATATCTAGTCCCTCAACTCGGCCAACACTGACACGGCATACCAATCTGCCGTTGATGTATAACTCAACCAACCAGGCTCACTCATCCCCGGCACAGTCCTCCACGTTCTTCACGACTCTGTCGTTGGAACGTACCTCATTTACTAAATTTACGTATTCCTTCTCCACTCAGACTGTTTTATCATCCGAACTTCGGTCTGGCAAGGGAGCACTTACAGCGACACCATTCTGCGTAAAATTCCCAACCTTTGGCCTTTCACGACTGGCTACACATACGCACATGTAGGCCTATCTCCAGTCTGGTCTGATCGCTTATCTCCCTCCAAAATATCTGAGGCTGACTCACACACTGACCGCTTCGTAGGAGCTAATTATTTATCTACCCACCTGTGGGAAAACTGACCTGACTACCCTTTTCTTCGGGTATTAAAGCCCACCATTATTGGTAAGGATATGTCAATCTCCGTTTTCAATCACTACCCTACATGACCATCCAGAACGACGTCACTCCTAAAAGCGCACTCTTGTTTATCGCAAATTCAAGTAAAAGAGGCAATTCTTTTTGCACTGCCACGAAAGTCCTTCAGGCCTTCTCTCATTAGTAATATGCTGTCGTCTATTCTTCAATGCGGGAGCAAACACTATGCAGTCAGATGGTATTCTGGCAAAGACTACTAGCTACTGTGCGGATGCTGTCAGAGTCCGAAAAATGAGGTCCAAGGTAGAGCGGGAGGAAAGCGTTCCGTTTGTGATCGGTGAAGGTTCATTAAGGAGTGTCACTATGGGGGTTAGTTGAGCTACTTCCCACCGTTTACGCCATGCATGTGGGTTTGCAGAACAATAGCATGCATACATTCCCCAACGAAGCTATTTCGTTTGAGGCAAGACCGGGTCAAATCTCTTTAAATGAAGAATAATTATTGTTCTGAACACGTATTTAGAATACCCACGTAGAACCAGCTTAAAAAATGATGAGAATGATGGTACACTTTTTCTTCGTCATTTTCTATCTAACAGGGCATAACCATATACTACATCTTCTTAGAAAAAAAGACAAAATAAAAGCTGCTTTTATGCCAGTGAACTTAAGTAGACACACGAAACCTAATTTCTGCATTGCATTTGCGTATTTTTAGTATCTCGTTTAAAGAGGGTTGTAGAAAACTGTGTCAAACGACCAAATCTTCGAGAAACCCATATGAGATTAGGCACTGACTACTGCAAGATTTGTAAAATTATAAGAAGAAGAAATGCGTACCGTTCTCGCGCCT